ACAACAACCACTACTACTGCTACTACTACTGCTACTACTACTACTACTACTACGACGACGACGACGACTACTACTACTACTACTGCTACTACTGCTACTACTACTACTACTACTACTACTACTACGACAACTACTCCGACTGGTACTATTTGTACTAGTAGTTAGTATTGTCAGTAGTACTAGCGGTACTGTCATGTTATCTTTACTATTGACCGCATTCATATATATATATATATATATGCATATATATAATCAACATTGCTGCTCCACTACTGCAAGCATTACCACCAGAAGTTCCGACATTCCCGTGGTTCCAGCACCATGACGAAACGCAAAGCGCCCTTGTATGTCAGTGCAAAGGCCTCACACTTGCTGCGTGCAAGGTTGCAGTGTGGACTCGGAATTTGGTGTATTGAGACGGCGCTTCTGTCAGATACGGCCTCTTACCCCGAATCGTCAGCCACCCTGACACTGACAACACTTGGCAGCCCAAAGCCAGGCAAGCTCCGAGGAGGCAGTTGTAAAGCAGCTGCAGGTCGGCTTCAGCAGGGTATGTGGACCGTGCCGGATTTATAAGCACGGGGTTTCCGAGCAGTTCGCTGAGGGACCATTAACTGCTGGTGATACGGGGCTTCAGGAACTCGATTTGGACTCGCAAATGCTGCTTGGTGTCTCCAGTCCTTGCAGCAATATTGCAGTGCAGACTTGAACCTTTGTCCGCATTGCAGTTTTTCGCTTGCAAGACATTTCGTGTAAACTAGAGCCCAGAGAGAACTCGGAAATGGGTTCTATGTTTCCGTGTGCCTGCGAAAGAATGGAACCCGGGAATCCTCGAAGCACGGGCCCGCAACACCTTGACCGGTCTGCGGCTGCAGGCTCCCTTCACGGTCGACACCGTGCACGTGAAAGGCACCCTGGATTTGTTTTCAGGCTTTAGAGGTCGAGGTTTAGGGTTCCAGATTCACCGTGAACGGCGCCAAGCGGCTTTCACTTCCACGTTCTGGGGTTGTCCTGTCCTAATCTTCGCACTGAAAACACTGCACAGTTTTGGGTTATGTAAAGGTATATATATGTATGTACATATCTGTACATATGTATATAGTATTAATTTCCATTGTATGCATATGTATGTGTGCCTATAGAGGTTGGACAACGTGCAAACTTAGTCATGCTGTAACAGTAACAGTGTTACTGTGATGAAAAGGTATTCTATAGAGGCATAACCCTAAATTTGAGCCGAACCGTGAATCCTCAAGCTCTTAAGCTTCCGAGTATTAGGTTTAGATTTCAATTTCCGAGTCTAGCCGCCTTCGACGGTAAGGCCCAAAGTCAAGAAATTCAGGGCTTAGGACATAGGCAACAGGCGTCGGGGCTTCACCCTACTTCAGCGTTTGTTTTTGGCCTCAGAGCTTTGGGGCTAGTTTAGGCTCAGGGGTTTTGAAAGCATCAGAAAGTCTGCCATTTTTCCAAAGTCGTGGGCCAGACATTTAAGCCGAAGGACAGCCCCTGACATGATGTTTTGTTAATCTCTAACCCTGACACCCGGTCCGCCCGTAAGGTCCAGGGAAACACGTGCGATAGTGAGTTTGTATTTTTGGGATATGCTTTAGTCAGGATTCCTACCTTCGAGGGGAACCGGCATCGTCTATGTAGGGCTTTTAGAGGAGGTATATTGGTGCTTGCTTTCGGATGCCCTCCTGGGAATTTGGTGCTCGCAATGCCGTCCCACTTCAGGTGGATTCAAGAACCCATCACTGAACACGGTCTTTTACCTGGATCCGCACCTGCAGATAGGCCAGGCTTCTCGGAAGGGGGCTGTTCGTAACGCTCAGGGCTCAGGGACCGTTAAGGATGTGGTGGTGTACATGGTTGAAAGGCATATGCAGTGTCTCGGGGTTGACTACTATTATTACTTGTTGGGGTGACGTCTCCTTCCGACAACACTAAGGAGAATGTCCCCGCAATGTCAATGTGGCAGGTTTGGACGGGCGTGGATCACGTGACTGTCGTCGTTCAGCTTTGAAGCCGTCGCCGGCTAGTGTGATTTATATGTATAAATACTAGACTATACATATATATATATATATATATGTATGCACTTCTATTTTTAAGATCATAAAGACTGAGCGGCATTAACAATTAGGGTATGGTCTTTTCTAACTTTTCCCGTCAGCACTATGCGGTAATGGAGGACTGAAGGGCTCTACTCGTGTAGGGCAGTTCGGCACAGCCCAAGCAGTCCAAGTGTTGCATTTGGGGCCGTTTTGGGTTTAGGATTGTTGTGCTGTCAGGTATTCTAGATGGTTCACTAGATTTCTCACTACGCGTAAAAGTATGTCACTCTTCCAACCCGGATGCCAAAATTTGAAGGTCCCCCCACCGGAATTTAACCAGTATGCTGACCCTTAACTATCTTGGGTTGAATATGCTGTATGGAATGTCAAGGTTGTCCTTGAGTTCCTTTGCGGGGCCTTGGTTGTCGGGTCTGGTGCATCTAATTGGGCTTCTCTTGGGTTCAGGGGGAAACCTAAACCTGAAGAAATATATTCTCGGCGACCAGGGTTTGGGTTCGGTGTCTTACATGGTATCTAAACGCTACAGTTGTTGGTTATTGTTTCTTTATTTTTACTGTCAAGTATTGGGGGGGTAAGTGTAATCATCTACGCCTTTCGTCCTACACGCGACGCTAGGGCGCTTTTAGTGTCGGTGTGTTGCCTCGGTCCTCAGGCAGCCGCGCGACCTATTGGGATGACAGCCGACGGTGGTTCATGTACTACCAGGCTCAGGGAATCTCAGGGACGTCGAATGCTTAATTTACATTGGTGTTCATGTTCTTAGGGCTCATCGATTGAAGGTTCAGGGTTCGTGGTTCATGTAGGATTTAGGGCCGAAGATTGAGACATTGAGGCTTTGATGTTCAAGTTCGATGTTTCGGGGCTTGGGGAACCGGGTGGGCCGTTCTTGAAATGGTTTCCTTTTCGACCCTGAGCGCGCAGCAGAAAGGAACCGAGCTTGGAACATGCGAAATGCGGTTGTCGTTGCCGGCTTGTGTTATACGTACTGCTGCATTGCATCGCTGCACCGTGCGATTAGCTTGTCATGTTTATTTTCCCTGGCAGTTGCGATGTCACGCCTGCATGAAGAGATGAGGAGTTCTACGATTGCATCACGGGTCTGCCCACTCACTAGCCGCTCGTAGAGCATCCGACTACTGTTTTGTATCCGCGTCTTTTTAGTGAAGATGTGCCACAGGTGTTCTTGCATGCTGTTTCATTCTAATGTGCATGTGCCAAAGGTAGGTTCATCAAGGTACAAGAAACTACTGATGTCCTTGTTCGGGTCACCATCAAGACTAGTTACGCTGGCGATCTTGGCATTCCCTAGTCTGGCTAGCTACCCCAAAACCGCGACATAAACCCGAAGCGCCGAGCTCTAAATTCTAATCAAGAACCTCGTTGTTCCGGCGTCCGAGCTTTCCCGCAGTAGTCTAGCACACCAACGCCCTGCGGCGATGTCTTTCGAAACCCGTGAATCAGATCGAAGCCTTGACATTGCAGAAACTGAAGTACCCTTTCCTGCTTCGTCATTCTGCTCCTAGGAACGTATTTGCTCCGTCAGCGAGTGTGTTGATTGAAGCATCCGGGTATCACAGCGTAGCCCCCTAACTGCCTCTTGCATACTAAGCTCTGGCCGTTCAGGCCCCGATGAAACGATGGGCCATCAGCATCCGGGATGCCTCTACAGGCAGTGCTTGGGGTTGAGGTTCAAGTTTCGTGTTTAGGGTCCAGGGCTCGGAGGCAGCTCGGACAGCGCATTTAATGCCATGCCTTTAAGCGCATGAATCCGGATTTTTTCGTTCTCCGGTAGGCTTCGACAGTGTCGTAAAAATGAATGCATACGATACATAGAGATGTGGGTGAGCGAGGGAAGCAGGATAATTCATGTTACATGTTGGTGCTTCCAAGCCTCAGGCAGGCATTAATGTGTATCCAGATATATGACAACGTGTGTATGTGTACATGTGTAGTTAAGACTGTGCATCTATATATGTATGTATGTATGTATGTATGTATGTATGTATGTATGTATGTATGTGTATGTATAAATAATTATACACAAACATGCAATATGACTTTGCCCATATTTCTCGTAATACTCGCTACCCTTAGTTTACACTGTCTGTAACCTTGCTCCGTGCGTGCGTGTGTGTGTGTGTGTGTGTGGGGGCACTGTGATGTTTCTATGCGGTTCGTGCTTCATAAGATTTCGTAGCACCCTGGGTCTAGCCAATCCGCCGCTGGCTGAAACCGCCGCCCTCCTTTTCAGGGGACGGTGCTGGCTTCGAGGTTCAGGCTGTATATACCGCTGAAAGGTTTCAGGCACATTCTCTGACTCAGGGCCTTCAGATGCCTCATAATTATATGGAACTACAGGACTGATACGATCAGCATGCATGCTAGTGCTGCTAGTGCTTGGGGTTTGAGGACATGGGTCCTGCACGATGGTCAACATGTACTGTGCATCGATGGCACGAGGGTCGACTGCTGCCAGAAGCTGATCATGGCTTCACTGTCTTATTGTACGGTTAGGAGTCGTAGTGCATATGGTATTCACGGCAATTTGTACTTGTTAAGACGATCATGAGGGTCGTTGTTTGATTCACTGAGTTTGCCGAACTTTGTTGTATTTACCACCAGCCATGGAGCCCTCGGCGAAGAGGGCCAAGCTAGGAGACGATGGTGGCATTGAGCTGCATGAGGTCCAGAGCCACGGGGACGTGAAGGATTTGCTTAGGTGGATGGGGCATGGTGGCCTGATCCACGTGACGCTGGCGATGAGCCAAGACATCGGATTTAATTGGCAAAGCTTGCACCCGAAGATTGCGGTCCAGCTATTCTTCCAGAGATATTGTGGCCTCAAGATGGGGATGGAGGCTCAATATGAGTACATTTGCGACACGGTGGCATGGCCCGAATCGGGATACGTCGCAACCCTGGTCACCAAAGGCTTTTACGACAGACGCCTCAGCTTCCGAGGAAAGGTTCGGCAGACGATCGCAGCCGCAGAAACTTCGGTGGCTCAGGTTTTCCTCACCCATCCCAGCATTATTGAGATCGCTTCCAGGTTGCCCCCACCACTGCCAGATGTTCGACACCGGCTCCTGCTGACAAAGCCTCAGCGGGAAGCTTTGGCAGCAGCAGGCATGAATCTTGGTGGCTATTGGCAATTGTTAAGGCTTTAAGGTACCTCAGTCTTAGTGACTGTCGCGGCAAGAGCTTTCACATGTTGGGGAAGGCCCATTGTGGGAGTCTAGCTGATCTAGCAAAAATGTTCGCAGAAGCAGCGGGTATCATTTCAGTTTGGTATAGTCCGAAATCACACACACACAGACACACACACACACACACGCACACTCCATGCAGCTACACTCACAAGCCGTCGACGCTTCATAGAGTGAGACATCAAACTGCATAAACATGATTCATATAGCTACATACTAGCCACAGCTGGAGCCGCGAATCCCAAAATCCTTGCCTTTGCAGCGTTGTGAGCAACGAGATCCGAACCCTCTTGTTGAGGGGGTGGCCAAGGAGCTGGGAGGCAGTACAGGAGGACATGGTGCAGAAAGTGTACTTTGGATTCCAGTCCATGGGCTGCCGCAGTCAACTTTGGGATGCAAGCGCCGCTTAATTTGTGCATGCATATGGGGTTTGGTTATGAGTGTTTAGAGCGCACGAAATTACGGCAGTGGTGCTACGAAGGCTGCTTCGTGATCGTAGTTTGCATGAGCGATTTTGGATTCCATGCTAAGGACACAAGAGTATGGGTTTCTTGGGTTCAGCGATTGGGCTTATGGTCATGAGGACGTACTAACGCAGACGTCGTGGTTGGAGCGCTTTCGGGTGTACTTACAGGAAGCTGTATAGGAGACCCGCATGTCCGAGCTAGCACCTGACGAGGTCATCTGAGATGTAAGTTTAAGCGCCGAAAACGGAAAATAACCTAAACCCTGATAGTAATTATCAGAGGAGCCTGAACCCTCGAACCCTGACATCCCTAGACTTCCAAACCGCCGAGTCTTCGACCTCTGGTCCTTTGGGTTTAGCCTTAGAGCCCCAACTTCGAAGACCATGAAGTTGAAGTTGTAGTGTTGTACACTAGACTTGATTTCCCAGCTGCCTTTGGCAATCCTTTAAATGGTGACCTCTTATTCAACACCCGATGGCTTCCACACCTCGCGCAGCACGATATCGCTGATCCTGGCGTGGCAAAATCTCGAGGGGTGGGTCTCGTCATTAGGTTTTCCCGTGTTCGGGGGCCGGGGGGGGGGGGGGGGGGGTCTGCAATTAAAGAGATCTCAAGGACCCTACTTACTAAATCCAGGGACCCAGGGAATATATTGGCACGCCTGATTATTTTGCGAGGTCCACAAGACTTTGTGATAGGCTTGTGAGGGGTCTAGTAGAGTTCCGACGTGCCTGGCACGTTTAGCCTTTTTACGGAATGGAAGGCTTGCAAGTGCAAGAGCTCTGCGGCCCTGGGGCTTGACAACTTCAGGTATGGGTCTGGCAAGGCTTGACCCCGTCAATGTGAGCTGTTGCCTTCAAGGTCAACCACAAGCCTTGAGCTCCATTATAATGTAGTAACGACTCACGCTATGTTGTGATATGCACTTCGAAAGGCCAGCATATTCTCGATGTAGGAGCTGTCCCTGTTAAAAGTTCGTTCCTAAAATCCTACTGAAACGGCTGGCATCACAACACACGACAATCCCCACAGAGCCGTTGGGCTTCATCAAGGCAGGACTCCACATACACAACAGCTGCAAGTTCAACTGCAGACCTTGTGACAGCGCGAACACCATCATAGAATCAACAGATGTTCACCATTCTGTTGAAAAAAGGAGCAGAACGACCTCGTAGAGGCTTCGACCCCATCAAGTCTTGAAGCAGGTGAGGATATGCTGGAGAATGCGAAAGGTGGTGGCCTGCCCGCGACTTAGTCATCATACGGCGACGAAGGTTAGTTACGGTTAGTTGGTTTCGAGTCTGAGGTTCTTCGGAAGTCTCCGGGCTTATAAGGCGTGGTCAGGTTTCAGGGGTTTCTGCTGCGACTGGGCTCACATTCGTTTAGCGCTTAGGCGTGTTGGTGGACACCCAAGACTGTGTACCTCAAGCACGACAGTGTTACCTTGGACGTGTACGGGCTCTATCTATCACACGTAGGTGTGTCAAAGTCGTGCCTTCCAGATAGTCAAGTCTGAAGCGTAATATGATATGTTCAATTGTAAGTTAAAGTGTTCTCCTTCGGATTCCCTATCATCAGCTGCTCAATGCCGAGTCCACTTGGTCAGACTCCTGTAATATGTGCTTTCGGGGCTCAGGGTTCAGAAGGGTGACAGCGCTCCGGCGGCTCGAACATGTTGAGTGTGCACGAGGGCGTCGTCGAGTGCGTCAGAAGCTGTGCTGTTGCCGCTCCTTAGCAAACCTCCAAAATAGTAGGTTTGCTGGAACGGTGCCTTACCTACGAAACCCGCCATCCTATGTATCCGAAGCCGCAAACATCCCAAGCCCTTAAGGATCTAAGCCGCCTGTCAGCGCCCTGGCTCGCGCAGTCGCACATACACGCCTTAGATTTATTGAAGGCCGTTGTTTCGAATCACCGCCAAGACGGAAGCAAACCCAAGACACCCTGAATACTTCGACCTCCTCTACCACTGAACCTTGCACAGTTTTGCACAGCTTCAGAGTCTCAGCAGGAACCATGCGCGAGCTCCAGAAAGTTAGAAACCCACGCGCCCAAGACAAGCCCTGATGCTAAGTCCTAAACTCCCCAAACCCATCAAAACCCTTAAAGCACAAAGCTCTGCACCCAAGATAAACACTACACTGTAATCCTCGGTAGGTGCGGCTTCGCTGTCGAGGCTCTCCGATTTGTTCTTGTGAGTTTTTGGGGGTCTGTGGCTTCAGGGGTTTGAGGCATTAAAAAGGGTTTGTAGAGGGTTTGAATGCGCAGTCGGCTGTTCTGAAACCTGGTCGTTCAGAGAGTGTAGGGTCCAAGACGGAACGTTCTGGAGGTTTGGGGTTCCGGGTTCAGGAGACATCAGGGGATTAATTGCGGATTGCAGGTTGTGAGCGCCCGAGCAGGAAGTAAAGGAGCAAGGAGGTACCCTAAACTCCTAAACGCTTATCCTCTGAACCCTTGAACCCACGACCCTAAACCCCGAGCCCTAAACCTTGAACCAAAGCAGGAACAGACGGACACTAGGTGCACGAGACCACGGCTAGAGAAAGCACTCCAGAGCACTTTGAGGCTATAAAAAGAGTAATCGAAGGTTTATCGGGCGTAGATAAGCTGTATGTGTGTGTATGTATGTATATATATATATATACATACATATATGATATATGTGTACAGATGCACATATCTACATAATTTGGCATAGAGGTTAGCTAGACTCTACATAATGGGGTTTAGGTTTACATACGGTTGCTCGTTTCCTGTACCTGCACGAAGCCAGGCAGGAAGGAAGGTTGAGCAACAGACTCCAGACTGGCAGACATCAAGATATGCTGGCGTAGGGGTGTATGGGCTGGTGCCTTGCCAAAGGTTGCCATCATGTTTCCATCCACGCGAAGCATGCAAGAAGCGCATGTGTGCAACTTACGCCGTCTTACAAACCTTCATAAGACCAGTGCCTCTGTACATGCCTATGTATATGTACATGTGCGTGTGTATGTTTATGTGTGCGTGTATGGACATGGATATGGATAGGCATATGCATACATGCATATATATATATATATATTTGCATTTATATTTTTATTCATTTATTTTTTTTACATATATGTGTATGTGCATATGTGTATGGCTACGGACATGGGCATGGATGCGTATCTGGATGTGGATGTGCATGGGCATGTGCGGGGTATCTGTATACGTGTGTTATATGTATGTTCGCATGCACGTACGCAATTGTATGGCTATATGTAAATGCATATGTATACTTACAAATATGTATATAGAATGCAATTGCACATACATACATGCATGCGTACATACATACATACATACATACAAAAATAGACATATATATATATATATACGCATGTTCATATATTATAGATGTGCACACATTGCGATATAGGTACACACACATGTATACATATATATATATATATACACATCTGCATATGTATGCCTATATACATATATATATATATATATGCATATCTATATATCTATATCTAGATACATGCATGCACACATGCATACATGCATACATGCATACATCTATCCATCCATCCATCCATCCATCCATCCATCCATCCAGCCAGCCAGCCAGCCATTCATCCATCCATACATACATACATCTCTCCCTCTCTCTCTCTCTCTCGCCCTTTTTCGCTCTCTGTGTCTTTCTTTGCTTCTCTCGCTTATTTTTCTCTGCATATGCAGCGTATTTGCCGCATGGAGACTGTGAACATCTTCACTGAAGTCCATTGTCAGGTGCCTCATGTAGACATCACCGCTGCTCTGCCGCAAATCCTATCTCTTGGTTGGAAATCAGGATCGGTACAACTCCCAGACAGCGATCAGGTGTGCCCAAAATGCGGCGGGTAACCCCTGACGTACAGGGGCCCTTCGACAAATTGCTTTCCGTAAAGTAATTAAGCCCTTTGCAGACAATCTAAGATCAACGCCATCAAAGGATCCGGTTGAAGGACCCCTATACAGGTTGCCTATTCCAAGAAGCATGCAGGTGGACAAGAACAAGAACGCGTGGCAGGAGTTCTTCGACGAGAAGTGGGTGACTGCAAGGGGCTTGTTACTGTATTGCCGGTAAGGCGCATGTTTCAGCTCTGCAGGCGCAGTCTCCACCTCACCGTGATGAGTCTGCACAAAGGAAGAGACATGGGATCGATACCCTGTTTAACTTCAGCACCAAAGGCTACTAAATCTAAAGGCTTCCCAAAGCCGACGAGAACCAAATATTGCCCCAAACCCTGGCGCTAGGCCGAAAGCGACTTATCTACGTCTACTTTAGAAAGAGGGATTCGGTCTAGGTCAAATGCATCCCGAAAGCCTATAAATGCAAGCCTCATAACCTGAAAACCTTACACCGTACAGCTCCACATAGCGAAGCCCAGCACGCAGAGCTCTCAACGCCCTCAGCTCGAAGTCGCAAAACGCTTAAACTCTACATCAGTATGTAGGAAGACCTGAGCAGATTCCTGGCAAAAGAAGCTACACCAAAGCGACCTACGTACAACGGGCGTTGAGGTGGAGATCGACATAAGAAAGCTTTGCACCGGGAAGCGGGCACCTCCTGCCGGAGCCTTGCACTCTGAAGCCCCGTTTTGGTGCCATAGGGTGTGCGGCTTTTGGGGTTGAAACTCCGGAGTAATCAGGTTTTTAAGGGTCTAGGTGGTCTAGGCATTTTGAGCGCATGTTACGAGTTAACTCAGGGCTCTGGGTTCGAACAGCTCGTCCGGGTTCAGGCTAAACTATTATATGGGTCGGAGCTACAGTTCAAAGCCTTGAGGTGAAGAGGGTTTCGGGGCTTGGTGCTAGAGGACGGATTTAGGGTTCTCCGGTTTCGGATTTCGAGGTTGGGCGGTCTATGAGTCAGGGTGAAGCCGGCGCTAACGAGATGAACACCTGTTACGGGTTTGGGGTCTTCAGGATACGGATGAAGCGAGCTAGAAGCCTCAATAACTCGGCACACTCATGAAAGCATAATGTACCCCAGAACCCTATTCTAATTATGGAAGCCCTTATCTCAGGCGAAGTGAGCCGAAAATACCCTAGCCCAGCCGATGTCTTTGGAATTCAGACCATCTAGTTCATTCAGGATCCCTACTGCAAGCATGAATCGCAGGTTTTGGCAGTGGAGTTTCAGAGTGCTCTGCAGAATAAGCTGCATCGTTGTTGTTCGCGTCCTGCTTTGGAACGCAATAGCAGAGCTCTCCCTCTCCAAATAATCTCCAAACCGTGGATTAGAGCCCTGATCCCTGAACACAGAAACCCTGAACGTGGAACCTTTTAGTTTCGGGTTCTGCAGCCTTATTTGGGGCGCTTTGATTCAGATATGCCGACAAGCAGGGCACTGAGGGCATGCTTGGGTGCATGTTTTTTCTGATTTCAGGGATAGTGCTGTAGCTGTTATTGAGACACTTGCTTTCTAGCCGTGTTTCTGGATGACGTCACCCCGGAGCCTCACCGAAGCCTTGCTCTTGGGCCTGATGTGGATGACACCGCCATCTCAGATGCCGAAAGCACAGTGCAAGCTGTTTTGGTACTGCAGGGCATCGCAGGGTGCTGCTGTCGCTGCTCCAATCAAGGGGCGACATGATAGGTCAACAGCGGCATGTCGCGCATGCTACATGCTAGAACAAAGCGAAAAGACTAAACTCTGAAGTTGAAAGCCTTACAGACCTGACCTTGTTCATATGCTGCATATCATCGCCTCCGAGCCAAGGTGCTGCCCCACGTTCCAGAGCGACACGCCCCCAACGCGAAGAAGCTCCAGGTACGACCACTCTAGTACCAATGTGTTTCAGCTTTAGGGTCTGCAGCCTTTTTGTAATGAACCTGCACAGTTACGTTTCCGAAAAACTTGCACCTCAAAACCCCCAAATTCTGAAGCTACAGCATCTCAAACTGTAAACCCGCAAGCCCACCCCCCCAAACACTAAACCCTTAAACCGTATCAAGCCTTAAGCACCCAAGCTTGGAAGTTTCAGGTGCCCACGATCCCCACGACTGTCAAATCAGAGCCCGAGCCCGTCAAGGCGCTAAGGCTTTGTTCAGGGGCCCTAAACCCTACCTGGTAAACCCTCAAAGCTGTAAGGTACAAGCTGTTGGCAGCATGGGGCAGGGAGTGTGTGGGGTTTTTAGCTTCAAGCTTCGGGTTCAGGCAATACCGGATAGCCGCAGATGGCCGAATATGAACCAGGCATGGGACTATTCACATCAGTGTTGACGTTGATCGAGCTCCTTCTAGTCTGTGCCAAACAGGGTCGAGCACTAGACTCCGCGGGTCAAGAATCGAAGCTTCAGTGGCCCCGAACAATCGGGCTCCGCTAAGCCCTAGATCGTACGTGGACTCTGCAAATCCTAGACTCTGTGAACAATAAACACAGAGATCACTTCTCTAAGGAGACAGTTTCTGTAAGGTCCATGTAAGCATCAATAGCTGCGTCGGTAGGCTGAATCTGTTTGGGAATGTGCCGCGTTCTGTGCAGAGGAACGCGGCAATTAGGAAATGCCTGACTTATACCCTAAACCCTCAAATGTAGAAACTTAAGCCTGGAAGCTAAACCTTAAAGCCCAAACCGCAAACCGGCAAGCCTGATCCCTGGACCGCAGATATTCAGGTGCCGACAGCAGCTGAGCTTACCGCGCTGTCGTTGGTCGGAACAGCAGCAAGTGTCAAGGCATGGGTCACGGTCCTTTTGATTGCCGGGGACATTGGGGCTCGCATGGAAGTTACGACAGGATGGTGCGAGCTTTGTTCTTGTAGGCAGTTGTTTCGCGATGTTCGTTTCGGCTGTGGCAGGGTGGCAGCATGAGCGGTGAAGCATCACAATGAAAAAATCTCATGTGGCACGGTGCTTCAAAGCTGAAGTGCACGCGATCCCTAATCAAGCCCTAAGCCCTTAGTGAACGCTAATGCACGTTTGAGCTTGCGTGGTCGGACCAACTTGACAGCTTGCGTCGTCTATGACGAAGCGCTTCCCCGGAAGCGATCCGCAACCGACAACGTGGTATGAATCCTCTGGAGTAGAGGTTGCTATGGGGCCTGGGATTTTACCAAGTCACTTCTAGCATATTCTGCATCATGGCAACTCTCAGCACCTCCGTGCTGCAAACAATACCGACTTTGTCACACCAGCAGGTTTCGTCTCGTAAACAGAAGGTTTGTTTCGCTCCAGAGCCCCCTGCCTCGCTGCCTTGACCTGCACTTGTTGGTTCGTTGCCGTGTGGAAGGACGTGATTTCGAAGGATAGAAGGCGACGAGAAGTGATCGTTTAACTGAACCTTCGGGTTCAATCTGGGAGCTGCCTCAGGCAACGCCATCTTGTTGTCCGAAGTCTCTCGAGTCTCCCCAGCTGTAGTTGCAGTAGTCTTGATGACGAATCACAGAAGACGCTGTCGGATGTCCGAAGATCCACCAGGCAACTCCGTTCTTAGGGTTGGACACGGACTGAGCAGGTGAAGGGTTTTCCAGCATTCAGGGCTTAAGGCTTCGCGGTCTTAGGGTGTAGGATCAGAGGCTGCAGGGAGCGCACGGTCTTTGCTCTTCACCCACTCCTCAACCCTAGCTCTAAAACGTAAACGACAAGCCCAACAAGGACACCCTGAACAGAGAACCCTTACCCTTGAAGCTACGAATGCCTCACTGCCTGAAGGAAGAGATGAAAGAGGAGGAGTCATCGGACTCTAGTTTGCTGCAGGCTCCTCGGTCTTTTTGGGTTTTAGAGTTTAGGACGGGACTCAGCGGCCGAAGTCGAACACATCCATCTTACTGCATATGGTAGCGAGGAACTAATGTCTGGGTTGCCTGGTACAGGTTTTCCTCACAGATCCTCAGCTTGGAGAAGAACCTACAAGCTCCTGAAGCCATGGTTTTCCAGTGAGCCGTGGAGCCCACAGGTCCTCTTGAACCTTTTTGTTTTGCAAGAGTCTTGGTAACCACAACGTGTTCTTGAGGTCTGTACGGGGGGGATCTGTGTGGTTATGTCATGGAAGACTATATGACTGTAAGTGCCTTAGGTTGTTATAGGCTTCCACTTGGGACATGTCCGATTGCTCGGGTCACCTGAACAGGACTACATTCCTTGGCGAAGCATAAGTCGAATTCGGAGCCTTGTGTGGTTAACCTGTTTCCTGTTAAGGATGTCAAAAACAGGAAATCCAGCCGAAGTTGAGAGCATAGTCATAAGTCATAGGTAGCCTCTGGTGCGACAGTTTGTGACACAGAAGTCCCAAACTCCGCAAAACCTTGACGCATGGGCCCTAAAAGCCCTAAGCCCTGGCCAGGAGTCTTTGCTAGGCGAAGGGGCCGGACGGCGGGTCGGCCAGGTTGGGATCGTGGCCGTTGCGCTTGCAGATTTACGGGTTGGAGGTCCAGGTTTTAAGGGCTGAAGGTCTGGCAGCCCTAGCAGCACGGCAATCGTTAGTTGGATACGCCTGGTACTGAACAATTGCCTGGCAACGACTCTTTACATTTGCAGAGCACCGCGTCGGAGCTACCAGCACTAGCATGTGCTTGGAATGATCCTGGCATGCATGTCTGTGTTGCGTCTATTCAAGTAGACACAGATGCGTGGGAATATTCATTAATTAGTACAATAGTGATTACGGTTGTGACTATGACCGTTTTACTTTTTGGTAGTAGAAGTATTACAATTATCTTCTTCTTAAATGTGGCGATTACTATTGATATCATTATCGGTTATTGGTGTCGTCGTCGTCGTCGTCGTCGCCCTGGTTGTTGTTGTTGTTGTTGTTG